TTCCCCCCCCCCCCCCCCTGAAGCCTCTCTCACGAAAACTCGACGAGCCACGGAACCTCTTCTTCTCTCTTCGAGCAGCCAGCACGAGGAGGAGAGTGATGTGGGCGTGAGGCAGCAGGGTGTATTCTTCGCCAAGCTTGGGCTGTCTATATCATCATCAATCGGTTGAAGACCGGAAAGATTCCTTGCTATCGCATCCCGAATCCAAGATTGAACGCGTCGGAGACCTATCGGACGGTCGGAGGATCCATCATCTCTCTCTATCTATTGTATCCCCCGCCGTTCTCCTGTAATCAGCCAGGATGATGAGGTCATCATTCGAAGACGACTTGATTTTCCCAACATCTCCCAGCGTGCTGTCCTCGAATCCACCGTGGATGACGTCACCCGACATCCAAGGATCTTTGATCGTGCCCTATTTTTTTTTGCTGTTTTTTAAATTCCGCCGCAGGGGGCGTTGGCCAATCAGCGAACTGCGTGCCACAAATGTTTTTCTCTCTACTGCTGTATGTAGGGAGGGTATGGGAGGGCACCAACGGAGACCACACTCCTGGCGCTGACGAAGATATTGAATCTTAGGATGATGCCTCTGACGTATTTGGTCGACTTGCTGTCGCGCAACAACCTACAACTGGTGAGCGGTTGATGAAACAACAGTAGATAGACAGCGTGTCTAACCGACACATAGCTCATCTGGAATAGATTAATTAAGATAACTGCTGTCTTCTCAACATTTCAGAACAAATTGATCCCAATCCTGTTTTGCGACGCCCTTGTAAGCTCAATATTCTATCGGTGCAAGTGGTCGCATCAGGTGAATAGTCTATTGCTTATTCGAAAAACAATTTGTCTTACCGGAACATTGAAACGCTAGCAGAGTGCCTGCCTAGATGCTCTGAATGCCTCCACGTGGGGTGCAGGGAAGCTCCTGCAATGATGGGCGTCACTGCTGTACTCGCCGTATCTCGGTCAACATCATGGCGCCTTTACGGTACATTTTCTTCTTGAATATGGGGACGGTCGTACTCGCTCAAGGAACCCTGTGCTTTCCTACGCTACAAGTATTCATACAGCACGTATGGATGCACAACTGGATTTCCCGTTCCTTGCGTCTGGTCTCGCGTCTAGTCTCGCAGAACACGAGCGGGGAGATTGCGTTGCCCTCCCGAACAGAACCTTTTTTCGCGATAGAACCATCTTACTCTTTCCTGATTCCCGATGCGGCGAGCGCCGAGCGCCGCGGTGCGTATGTCACACTGAGCTGGTCACACTCATAGAGGTGTAGGTTCGTGGTGGTGTGCGAGATGATGCGGATGTACCCCCTACTCTTCGGGGCAGGAGCAGTTCGCAAATGTCACGCGTTCAGCACTGCTGGGTTCGTGTCTTCTCACCCACCACCACCACAACCACCACCGCCAACCTTGAGTTCCCAGATCGGGTTCTCCTTTACTCCAGGTGTGTAGTCTACCAGTTTTTGTTCCGGCTTTCTGGCCTCCGTTCTCGCTCCCTATCTTCGCACGTGTCCCTCCTGACTGTAAACACTTCAACACATTCCTTCGAACGGCTTTGCCATGTCCAACCGGCGGTCGTTATTGGATGGACACTGGTACTGCTGTCTGCCTACAACCTTCCAGCTACGAAACTCGAAAGTCTCCAATTTGTAGCGCAGAAGTTGAAGTTGTTGCGCCGTCCTCAAAGTCCGTGTGCATGTCTTCTCCGCGGACTACTATGAGGTCTACGGGTGTAGTCTAGGCCGTCGAGGAGAGATCGGCCTGCTTGATCATGCTCAATGCGATCGTTGGGGGGCGTTGATCTGCTATGAGGGTAGCAACTCCCGGCTGTCTTTGAGAACAGCTGTCAAAACTGCTTGGTGTGTGTTTCGTGCGTTGCCGGTGTACAGGTGGCCTGCTCTTTCCTTACCACCTCGGGGTGGCGAAATGCCTGGAGATGGAGGGGTTCCTTTCCAACGACACCCCACTAGCCGGGTCTTCGGCAGGGTGAGCGAGATGCGAAGGGGACAACGCCATCGGGTATACACACAGCGATGTTAGACTGCTACAGCTGTACGTGTCCGGGAGAGCAAATGATCCGAACCACACCTTGCATTTTCACCACACAGGGCACAGCGGTGAACGCCCGGAGATTGTACTACCCAGTCCACACCGGTGCTCACTTGGTACTTGAAAATTATGACTGAACACCTTCGTATTTATGCCCGCTGTTTTGTGTATGCCGCTGTCGGTCAAGGGCGCTGGCGGCAGTTGTAGTAGGATGTGGCTTGAGCATCGACACGGCCGCCGAGCTGTCCGGGCGAGTCTTCGATGACTGCAGCGACGGCGGCGCAGCTTTCAGATTAAGGTGAGGATGAGGACGTACCTCCAGAAATGTGCCAGCATCCACGCCAGTCGTGTACTGGTTTGCACTTGTGGCGTGTGCCATGCCAGGGTTTAAGGAGTTCATGCCAGTCAATCTTAGTTTGGAAGGAATGTGACACACTCCATGTACCCATCACACACGACACACGCAAGATCTGGTGGAAAGTACTGCGCAATAGGTTGGTGTCGTACAGAGCAGCGGTTGGGGATGGTCTCCACCTGCGTATCGCGTTGCCTGCCTCCACACGCCTGTTCTCCTAACCATGACAAAAACCGTCAGTCAACAATCAAGACAACACAGGCAACACGGCGGGTGCTCGAAAGGTTCTATGCGTCATGGGAGTCCCACCCAACGTAAAACGTAGTAGAGGTCATTATGGAGTGTCCTCTACTGAAAATAGTAGTATACATCGGACCTAAACGGCGGGAGTGTTGAATTACTTTCATATATTGGATTTAAGCATTAAAATAGAGCCAGCGTCAAAAATAACTTGTCTTAAATCCCTCAAGACGGCGGACGCATGGCTGACTTTGATTTGATGTGCAGAAAGTAGTAGGAGGATAAGGCTCGGCCGCGGCCGACGGGTGTGCTCCGTTACTACGGGGCAGAGCGGAGTTGCCACAGGTTGTGGTTCTTGTGGTACAACGCATCTGATCGCTTGACATGCAGTGATACCGACTGCTCTAGAACGCACGATTCTAGAAGTGCAGGCAGCACGGTGGGTGCAAGTGCCTTGGAAGCTTAGAATCCGCGTGCGTGCGCATTCAATGCACAGGAAATAAGCGACCATTAGAAGAGGTCCGACTCCCAGTGGAACTCGGGAGACAACAAATGTCTGTGCTCTCCTTGCTTTCCAAACCCGTTCTGTCTCACTATTCTGTCGGCCCTTGAACCCCCTCGGTACTCAAGGAACATCGTACAGAAAAGTCTGGATGGTGCGCTACCGGAGGACGCGCACGAGATCCTTAACAACAGGGAGGGCGCAGTTACCGTGGGTATTACCCAGCTTGGGTTCCCGTCACTGAAAAAAAGCGTGTTCGTCAGCAACTTCGAATCGAGGGCCGACCTCATCGAAGTCCTGCTAGGTTCTTGGTGAGTGCCCACGGCCCATACCCCCCAAGTGTACTGTACTGTGACAGGCAACCGGGAAACGTGCTCGCTTGTTGTGTGGAACGACCCACTGCACCCGCCTGCTTTCCCAAATGAGGGGAAATCACAAAGCCCTGTTGTTGGATATTTCAATATGTATGCTACCTCAATGGAGCGTCGACAGATATTACAGTCGTGATATACATGGTGTTGAGGCGCACACTGCACTTACGATCGGCATTTCTCTGACCGGGCTCCAGTTTTGGAAAGCATCCACGTTCGGATGACGTGTGCAGCATCGGACTTGGTGAACGGAAGGTTGAGAGAGTCCCTCGCAAAGTGACCCCCTCTCCTACACACCCCGCCGAAATTGGAGACGATATCCAACCTTCAGATTTTTTGCTCTGGGGGCTTGACTTGACTCATTCTCGCCTCCATTGTCATCACCACCCAGCTTGTTTGCAAAACTTTGACTCTAGGCCCTCGGCGCTGATACTATTAATAGCTGTTTGGGTGCTCCTCTCACGGATGTGTTCCCATGTGTTCCCATGCCCTCTCTGTCTGGCCCGGTTTCTACTACTCCGTCACCACGTCGTGCGAACCATACGGCGGTTCTGCTGCCGAATCTTGTTCTGCGGGTCCAGCCATGTGCCGTTTTGGTTCAGTGGGGTGAGATGATACGGCTAGGTCTCAAGCAATTTGCGCCCGTCGAGGGGTACTGATAAAAACGAAACGCGAAAGCACGTCCATGAGTCCAAGAGCGAGGCAGTTACCTGCGACGTACCAACTCTTGTGAATAGTTTGGATGAATCGCGGCCGAGCACACTTCCTGGGAATAATGTCCGATTATTGCGCACTCGCGCTGTTGCAGCCCACGTCCTACCTGAAAGGCTAGCTGTTTCAAGCACAACACAGCAGAGGGTACTACGAGAGTGTTTGGCATTCTCTCCTTGTGGTGGTTTTACTTGGGCCGATCACGTGACCGTCGTCGCTTCTTGTTTCGACGCTGTTTCGCGCCTTGTCCCCCAGCGGAAATTGCAGTTGATGTCGGTGATATGGTATGATTGCACGTTTGTGGCTGGATTTGACAAAGGACCCTTCGTTCCTGACTCCTCGGAGTGAGTGTAGCTTTTGTGCGTCACGTATTCGCCTTGTAACTGCCTCACTATACGATTGATGCGTTCGTCCTATTCTGGCTGAACGTCCTTTCTGATCTCGCTTCCGTTCTTCAGCAACCGTACATGCAGGTAAGGGGTCAACCCACGGTAGACGGTTTCTTCGCGATGCCGAGGGCTCAGTTCGGTGCTCCGGACATCCCCACCGCGGACGAAGTTGTACGCATCACCGTGTTTCCAACCACTTCGGTCCCGATGCAGTCAGACAAGCCCGGTGACTTGATCTCGCCGGATCTGCTTGACAGGTGGGTCAATGTGCCGGTTGGCGTTTCACACGTTTGTTGGCTTACCTGGGAACTTGAGCAAAGAAGGGTTGGGTGACGATACTTCATGCTTTCGTTGGAAGATGCGTTCGAACGTTTTATTTTGTTGCTTCGCCGTCTTTTGTTCAAGAAACGAATACACTTGTGAAATACATCGGTACTGGTGAAATATAACCTTTGGGCACTGCTTGCAAGTATGTCCGCGCTGCCCCGCATGTGTTGTGTTTCCTTCGAACCCTCGGCCACCGGGTGGCAGGACGAGGTGTCACGTCCTTATGATGAATGCCTTGCCGCACCTTATGGTTTTCTCCCCCCAACTATCATTTGCAGGTACCAGAGCGGACGTTTCATGGAGCTTCTGAATTACGCATTAAACCCCGGCAACGATTTTGTCCAGGAAGAGCTTTTCAACGCTGGCTTCGAATCCGGTGAGCGAACCATAACGTTGTTGTCCTCGATTCCGCGTAGCTCTGCAATTGTGGTGCCAGCCATTGACACCTGTCCCCTGAAAACCTAGGTCACCTGGCGTGCAAGAAGCGAACGAAAAAAAGGGAAAACCAGCTACGCGGAGTTTTGCTGTTTGCCACTCCGTGTTTCGCTACGCCCTTGTGATTCGTTTGAGGGTGCGGAAAGGAACACACCCACCCGTTTGCGCGTTGCGCGATGCCAGCATGTAGGTTAGATGTTTGAGACTACCCATACGTCTCGTACACTCGATCGCAGGTCTCGCTTGCGCGTATATTCACGACTGTCGTCACCAGTTAGTTAAGCCATGCTCATCGACACCTTACCGCGGGAGATTGTTAATGTTTCTTGGCTACTACTCCGTGCAGGAGGCGTGTGGTGTGACAGGTATGGGGAGGACTACAGGAGGCGGCACGAGGAAAAGCACTCGCCCGAGATGCTGGCGCCATCTACGGCCGGGTTGTAGTACGCCGGAGTTTCGTTTCATGCATACCTCATGATTGAAGCGGGTAGACTGGCCGCTTGAGCCCCCCGGCTACACGCAATGCGCAGGACTCAGTGGGCGCGCGATGTATGGAAACACAGATTATGCGGAGGATGTCACTGGTGTCGTGCCCGTTTGGCCTCACAACTCTCGATGTTCAGCTCCATAACTTTCCTCGAGTGTTTTGGTGGTGACTTGTCGCAAGAGTGCTGTGGTGCGTGCATACTGGTACGAGTGTGGGCTACGCCAGAAAGTCGTTGATGTATGTTTATTTTGGCCCGGTAATATAGTTTCGTCCCTATGAGGAATGCAGGAGGTAGAATATTTGAGCTTTTTTTGTGTTCCGTTTCGATGTTGCCGTAATAGAGTGAAGGCAAAAGAAGACTAAAAAAATAGCTACACTCTTGTTTCCGTCGCCATTTTGTGCCAGAAACGGGTAGGTGTGTTGGGGTGTTGCGGCGTTGTGATTTGGCGGGATGGCCCAACGCTGGGAGGACTTTTGGTGTGGTTTGTGTAGTCCGTGCCACACGATACGTTGGTTGCAGGCTCCCGTCGTAGGGGAGTGGTGTTGGTCGCCTATAATAATTCAGTAAATGTAAGAACAAGGTCAACTATCGCGAAAGGGATACTGTACGTGGGTAACCACTGTCCTTTGCTGTGTAGCGAGCACGAGGGGGGTATTGATGCGATGACGATATTGCGGTTGAATAACGGCGAGTGGTGACTTTTTGTTGTGGTTGGGTTCGGTACACATGTATCCTCATCTTGGATAAGTTGGCACTGAAGATATCGGTGAACATTGGGGTTATCCGGGATTCGTCCATCTATACGCATCTCGCGGAGATTACAACGCTTTTTGTTTGAGAAACAAGAGACGTGTGAAAGCCCACGTATGCCCCCGGAGCGACTGAGGTGTTGACGGCTTGGAGGTAGATCTACTAAAGCGCCCTTCATGTAGGGGCTGATGCTCGCCGTGGAGAGAATACAATGTGAAGCCGGAGGGGATACGTACATGCCGATGTCCGTTTATTGGACATGCCACATAGTAAGGTCTATCCTGAGCTCAAATGCCTCTTTTTGTTAATCGCGCCCCGCCAGCAAGGAGGGCTGCTCGAAGGTTGTTGAGGACAACGCCGCTTGCTGTGTGAATGTTCGAAAGGTTCGTAGTGCGGGCGTACCAAGCGTACCAACCAGGCGCCTTGGGCGCAGCTTGCGTGCGGTGGTAGAGTGAAGCAGTAGAATGTGTAGCGGTTACAAATACATGTTGTTCGTTGGCATTCAGATACTACGTCCGCTTGATGATTGAAAGTTGACGTACGGAGTAGAAAAATGTAAAACAAAAACAAAGCTGGTACATACGTAGTCTAAGGCTAGGGGTAACCGACCCAACCGGCTGACGGCGAGTCTTTGCCTTCTGCTGCTGCCCCTCTGGGGCACCCGGGCAAGAGCCACGGTCCACCACCGGCGCTTTCAAACCCAAAGACGAGGGGAACCCCGGTGACGCCAAGTAAACGTATTCATACGCAGGCAAGGCGAAAGCACGTCCGGCCACCACCACCGCCAGCAAGCAACACATTATGTCACGTGCTGGCATCGCAAAAGATTTGAATCCACTCGCCGCCAACCGGTCGGGTTCCGGTTACCCCCCTAGAATTTTTCTTGCCTAGCGACCAAGAAGACTCAGAAGAGGCTGGGGAAGATGTGGAGATTTCCGTCACTAACGGGTAGCAGGTACCTGTCGCCCCGGTGGTCTATCTAGTGGTATCCTCGTAAACCGCTAGTAGTCGCAGAGGTCGTGAGTTCGAATCCCCATGGGCTGAAAAATTTACAAACTGTGCGGGTGAAAGCGAAATATAGCTGAAAAAGCTCTCGTGAGTACCAAACTTCGACGTTAGCACCGTTGACGAGGGAAGGGGACGGCTGGACCCTTCTCGCGATAAAAATAAATATTCAGCACGCACCGCAGGGAGGAAAGTGGGGCATGAAAATATGAAAAAAGAAGAAAAAAGTTCAGGCCTTCTTCCCCTTCTCTCGGGGCTCTCCCTCCGGGAAACTGTAGATATCTCGACGACCACGACTTCGATTCAAAAGCGGATTTCTGCAGTAAATGGGCAGAAAGCAGGAGGACAACTTTCGAGCTGTCTTCACCTTCAATAACCGTTCCTTTGTCCCCTGCCGATGCTGTATTTGTGGCAATGCGTCAGTACCTACTCCGACTCATTCATCTGCCGCCATGCACCATATCAGCAAGTACACCACCCCTCGCAAAAGCAAGGAAGGCCGGCAGTAGTCAAGAGCAGCAGCAACAGCGGTGATTGTATCAGCAAACATGTAGAGTGAGGCGATGCTGCCATGAGATCGATGAGATCCGCGCTTTCTTGTGTGGTGTAAAAAGGTACGATGTCGTCGCCGCCCGTGCATAATTCCTAACGGCGTAAAAGAGAGAGTCTCGCTCTGGCTGTTACTCTGGGCAGTCATGCCGCACCACGCCACCATACACAATAACAGCAGGAACAATAGCAGAGTACGAGTCGTGCTGTAGTCTATAGATGTGTAATGCTACAGGTCCGCGCTTGTGATGCGTGCAATTAGATGAAGATCCCTTGCCGTCCTGCTGCGGTACATGTCGACGAAATCCCAACGAACGGCAAAGGGAAAGCGCATCTCTTTCTATCTGCGCAGCAGTCCTTCCACACCAGCCACGTCAACAAGAACCACCACCAACAGCAGGGATGTATAGTCTAAATGATGAGTGATGCACAGTGCTACTGCACCAGCATGCTATGCATAGCCTCTCTTGTTGCTTTGCGTTGGGTTAGCGTCTGGTTGGTGACCATGAACAAAAAAACTGCTGCTGCGGGCCTTTTGGCCGCCTTTTCAAACGTGTCACACTACCGACAGCAGCCAAGTTCCTTGTCTATTTCTCAGTACAAAATATTTGTGTGCCGACGGGAGGCTCCGACACTAGAAGATCGCCTTTCCCTACAAACCCTCCCCCACCCCCTTTTTAATAAAGACAGCTAATTAGCAAACCTCTCGTGATTGCGCCGCGCTTGCTCCGCGCCCGCGGCGGCTGCGCGTCTGCGTGCGAGCTGCCTTTGCCGACACACGGCTCTCTACTCGTCTCCACACACAGCTTCCAAGCTACCGGGACTACTAGATCTAGAGGCGAGGATTGTTAGAGTAGTTGTATCTGGAGCACCAGCTGCAGAGAACAGGCTACTCTACCGGGTTTTTGTGGCAGCGGACACGAGTTTGGGCTATCATGAGACCACTCACCGACGACGAGACAAGGGTGCTGTTTGAAAAGCTGGCCAACTACATCGACAAGAACATCGAGCAGCTCATCAACCGCCCGGACGAGAAGTGCTGCTTTCGATTGCACAAAGACCGAGTCTACTACGTCAGGTGTGTTGGACCCTTCTTCAAACCGAATGGATGTTACGCTGTTCAAAGCCTCCAAACCCGTGCTGTTGTCCACCGAAGCCACTCGCATGTTTTTTCTCTCCCATGTCCTTGGCCTGAGCCACTGGTATCCCGGCAATGCTCTGATGACGGTTCACATAAATAACACTCCACGCTCGTCATATTGCCAATTCCAAAATACGCGGGATATCCGTACACATACCTTTCAGCACGCGTCCTTGAAAGTGGGATATGTATGCTAAGCACCACGAAGATTTCGTCCGCGTTGTACGGCTGTAGGCGTAACACCGCTTTGTTGAAACGTTTGTATTGAATTGCTCGTGCTGGAAAGTTTTCCACTTGGGAGAAGCTGCACCGACCAGTATAAAGAAGCAACACGGCACACGTTGTGTCCCTACCTGGTGGGCAAAGATCCACCTGGTGGGCACAGCGTGGATGCCAGAACCACGGCCATGTTCGCCGATTCAGCCTTGCTCACCCATTTGGCCCAAAAGCCGGTGTAGCAAGGGTACACGCGGAAAAAAATTCAAGACACATAGGCCACCCCCCCCCCACCTGAGGGGGAAGCAATTCGAGCAGTTACAATGAATCGTCGAAAAATTACCACGAGGTTTTACAGCAGTAGATGAATGGCAAACGTGCCTTACTCTCGTTACCCACCTCCTCGTCATCGATGCCGGCCCGTACTCACCCAGCCGTGCTACTGCAGGAACACACTGAAACAAGCAGCCTAGTTCGCGTAGGGCCTATAATATCTACCAAGAAGTGCAGCAGCAGTAGTTACAGTACATAGTAGTATCGATCGAAGCTCGAATCAGTCCAATTCAACTGGAACAGGTCATTGACCAGCTTTAACTTAAAACCACCTGCCTTGCGAACTTGCCCTTGCCGCCTCCTCTAGCACTGCACAACAGGGAACAAAGTCTCGCAAATCTACTCGTAGCCTTAGTTTTCTTAATGCAGGGTTGGTTGCGTTTGACTGGATGGGCCAATCGGCCACACGGACGGGCGACTGGCGGGCTATGATATAGCGTCTGCTCTTGGGCTAGTATGCATGCGAAGTTTGCGCAGATGACCCTGTTGTGTGAGGGGTGTCTGCCATCTCTCTGGGATCTCCACAGCTCCACAGCGCCAGCAGCCTCAGTGGTGACGCACACCATGCGAGAGCGGGGCGCCAAAAGCACCGAGGCCTCGGCTGAAAACCCGAGGAAACATGGGTTTTGTCCCCACCCCCCCACCCCCGAAGGACCCCGACGCGCCGACGCCTCGGCGGAAAACCCGGGGATACATGGTATATGCCCCCGCCCCCCCCCCCTCCAAATGACCAAGTAGAACAAGCGATCTAGATGTAGTGGGGATCCAAGAGACGTGGGAATTGAAGGATGGTGACGTGGTAAGCAAACTAGGGAAATACTGGTGGGTAGGGAAGGCAAGAAAGGGCTTAGACCCAAAGAAAAGGGGGGAGGGGGGAGTCGGATTCCTGGTCAAGGAACACTTGTTTGACGTGGTGGAAGTAGTGGTGAAAACGGAATTCGAGGAAAGCCTATGGCTAAAGATACCTGGGGAGCGGGGTGAGAAAGACTTGTTTCTAGGGAACGTATACGTCACACCGTCGTCGAAGAAAGTCGCAAGCAAGGCGCAGGAGAATTTTGGATATATTGGAGAGGATGTCCAGAGGTTCAGTAGGAAGGGAGAAGTTGTCATGGTGGGCGATTTCAACTCCAGAGTAGAGAAAGCTTCCAGCAGAGGACAGGCGATCGGGCAGCACAGAGAAGGCAAAGTGAATGACAACGGAGTGAGGATGCTTGAATTCTTGGGAAGCAACGAACTGATGGTGTTGAACGGTAGGAGGGAATGCGATAAGCCGGAGTTCACGAGGCAACGGGCAATTTGCAAATGAATACTCGACCCTG